CCCACACGCTCCAGAAACACTACTGCTGGCGGCGATGGCTTGCAAGGGCCCTTTTAGATTATCCAGGCTCCTGAGCCATTGTCTCTTTTGCTCCAACTGTCAGCAGGACCGACAGAGGCTCCCTTTGGAGACCAGCTACAGGAGGACAAAAGCAGTCGAGATTGGCTCAGAGGTAGGAGCAGGAAGTAGAGCAGATGTTCGTGTTTCTCCAACGGCAAACTGAGAGGCTGCAGAGGCTGGCGGGGCTCCCTGTAACAACAAAACCTTTTTGGCCTCCTGCTGCAGCCCATGGAAACCTCAATTTCAGGAAACCCGCCGCCCACCTCTCCCTCTCTACACCCCACATGGTATCTGTCCTCAGCTCACTGCCAGTGTTGCTCCACCTGGGGGGATGTTAAAACCCCGCATCACATACTGTGTCCTGAGACAGACCCTGTTGATGCACATGTACCAGGAAGGCAACGTTTCCCTTTTTAAGTTTTGTTGCAAATTTTGAAGATCACGACACGAGTTTGACAAAATCTTCTTTGATGAATGAATTTTTTTAAAGAGGTAAAAGGCCCCAACTATGATATTTTCAGGTAAATTAAGAAAGTGAAATGTCGAGATTCTTTTTCATAACAACCATTTATCTTTTCCTTATCCTGGCAAATTGAGAAGAGATCAATTCCTTCCAAGTGACAACATTTGAATAAAAATACAGAGAGACGTTGTGAGAAATATAACAAAATTTTTGTCAGTTTTATTTAATCCCCCCATTGTGACTCGTTTTAGACTCATAGACTTTAAGGTCAGAAGGGACCATTATGATCATCTAGTCTGACCCCCTGCACAGTGCAGGCCACAAAATCTCACCCACCCCTCCTAGAATAATCCTCTCACCTATATCTCAGATATTGAAGCCTTCAAATACTTTGAAGACCCCAAGATGCAGAGAATGCTCTAGCTGTGATCTGTACCCCATGCTACAGAGGAAGGCGAAAAACCACTAGGGCATCAGCCAATCTACCCTGGAGGAAAATTCCTTCCTGACCCCAAATATGGCGATCAGCTAAACCCTGAGCATGTGGGCAAGACTCATCAGCCAGACACCCACACTTTACTTTTCATTCTCTAATTTCTCTGGTTGTGAGCAAAGATGCTCCTCACTATAGTTTTTCTCAAAGCTCCCTTCACCTCTTTGTTCCTCAGCGTGTATATCATTGGGTTCAACAAGGGGGCCACAATGGTGTTCATGAGAGAAATCATTTGATCGCTCTCCATGGTGGATTCAGACTTGGGCACCAAGTAGGTGAAAAGGGCCATTCCGTAGAACAAAGTCACCACCATAAGGTGGGAGGAGCAGGTGGAGAAGGCTTTACGTCTGCCCTCCGCCGATGGCAGCTTGAGGATGGTGGAGATAATGCAGACGTAGGACAGAAGTATCAACAGGAAAGGGCTCACGACAAACAGCACTGTCAAAATGAACCCTAGAATCCTAATGTTTGTTGTGTCAGTGCACACCATCTTCATCACCGGTGTTATGTCGCAGAAGAAGTGGTGGATGCGTTGGGAGCCACAGAAGGGCAGGCTGAAGAGCCACGTTGTATGAACTACGGCCACGGAGATACAGATGATCCATGAAGCCCCCGCGAGCCATGCACATGCCGGTCCACTCATGATGTTTGCATAGTGCAAGGGGTGGCAGATGGCCACGTAGCGGTCATAGGACATGGTCGCGAGGAGGCTGTGTTCCGTCAAGCCCATGATGGAGTAGATGTACATCTGGGCCATACATCCCTCAACAGAGATGGTCTTTTCATTCACCAGGAGCTGAACCAGCAGGTGAGGGACCACGCTTGTGGTGAAACAGATGTCCAGGAAGGACAGGTTGATCAGGAAGAAATACATGGGACTGTGGAGGGTAGAATTTAGCATTATCAGAAGGATAACAAGCAGGTTCCCCATAAGGGTAAGTAAGTAGACGACCAGCAGCAGCAGGAACAGAAGGATGTGAAGCTCATGAAGGTAGGAAAACCCCACCAGGATGAACACGGTGGAGATGGTCTGATTCGCACCAGGGTCGCTCTTGGAATAGGTCATCTGCAAAGGTGACAGAGAGACACTTGAACGGAATCTAGTAAATACCAAACATGGGGATGTGGCTCCCACAATTCCTTCTGGTTTCCTTTCTGCTGGGCGTCTTCTGGATAAAACCTGGGGCAAATCTGCACAAAGACATGTAGCCGGGCCCAGTCACCATCAGGTGTAAGCTGTTGTCACAGTTTGGATGCGTGGATCACCCGGGGAGATGACTCCTTGGACACCAGTGGAACTAGGGCTGATTTACAACCGATGAGGGTCGGATAAACTGACCCTAAAGGAGCTACATTGGTTTGTCCGAGCAATGGAGGCTGGGACAGACCTAAACCAGCAGCCTGCCACAGTCTGGTGGAAGGTAGGTGTACAGGGCACTGGATAAGTGGTTTTCTCTTCCCAGCGTGATAACTACTGGGGTCTGCTGCAATAAAAGGAAGGCAGGAAAACACCTGGGGCTAATTAACTATTCAAGTCTCTCCTCACCAGCAGCCAATGAAGGTCGTAGGTGCTGCTTTAACAAGCCTCCCCCCAGCAAAGAAGGGGGAAGTCATAGAGGGAGGAACTGGAGGGAGAAAGAGAGGAAGAAAAAGAGGTTGTGTGTGAGCTGAGAGCTGGTTAACAGATCCCACAGGAAGACATTTTGCGGGGGTTGTTTGGTGATGTGGCCCAAAGGAAAAGCTGCCAAGTCGGAAGGAAAAACAACCTTGATGGCTCCTGCTACTTCAGGGGCTCTGGCCTGGAACCTGCAGTAGGTCCCCCAAAACCTTCCCCCATCAATACAGAACCTGTCTCAAGAAGGGAGATCAGGACTATCGGGGGGTTTCACCCCAAAACCAAGGACTAGCTTGTGAAGAGCAGGGCTCACTGGACTTCAGACGCTGGCTCCTCTTTGGCTATTGGACCACAGCAAATCTCTGAGACTAACATTATCTGCCAGCAGCGAGAGATGCAGGTGGCATGGCCAGAACTTTGCCACAGGGCCCACAAGCATCCAGTATCGTGGTTCTAATCCTTTTTGTCTACTTGAAAATTCAAAAGGGTCCTTTCTTACCCCCTCCCTTGCTTCCTCCTTTCATAAGAAAGGTAGAGCAAAGGTCCATCTAGCCTAGGGGCCTGTCTGCCCACGGTGGCTAATGCCAGAAGCCCCAGAGGGAGTGAACAGAAGAGGGAACCATCAATTGATCCCTCCCCTCTCATCCTTTTCCAGCCCCTGAAAAACAGAGGCAAGGGAACCATCTCTGCCCATCCAACTTAATAATCTTTGAGGGACAAATCCTCTATGAATTTATCTTGCTCTTTTCAGCACCCTGTTAAAGTCCTGGCCTTCTCAACATCCTCTGGCAAGAAGTTCCACAGGTTGACTGTGCACTGAGTAGAGAAAAAATTCCTTTGGTTTGTTTTAAACCAGCTACCTATTCATTTCATTGGGTGACCCCTAGTTCTTATATGATGGGAACATGTAAGTAATTTTTCCCTATTCACTTTTTCAGTCATGATTTTATAGGGCTCTGTCCTATCCCCCCTTGGTCTCCTCTTTTTGAAGCTTTTTTTAAGCTCTTTTCATGGGGGACCCGTTTCAAACCTCTAATAATTTTTGTTGCCCTTCTCTGAACGTTTTCCGATGCCAAGAGATCTTTTTTGAGACGAGGCGACCACATCTGTACTCAATATTCAAGATGTAAATGTACCATGGTTGTGTAGAGAGGCAATAAGATATTTTTTGTCTTATCCTGCCCCATGAGGGCAGGGGACTGGACTCGATGACCTCTCGAGGTCCCTTCCAGTCCTTGTATTCTATGATTCCCTGATTCTATGATCCTCCCTCCCTTTTTAAGTGATTCTTAGCCTTGGTTTCTATTTAGGCTTTAATAAATAAAGCTGAGATTCTTCTTCAGAAATTTTACCAAACAGTATTATTTATTTACTTTTCATCACTGAATTTTTGCACTCTACATAGCTTTTTGAAATATGTATAGTTGTGGTTATTTTTTCCAGTGTACTTTACTTTACATTTATCCACATTAAATTTAATTTGCCATGTTGTTGCCCAGTCACTTAGTTTGGTGAGATCTTTTTGAAGTTCTTTACAGTCTGTTTTGGTCTTGAGCAGTTTAGTATCATCTGCAAACTTTACCACCTCACTGCTTACCCCTTTCTCCAAATCATTTATGCATAAGTTGAAAAGAATTGGTCTCAGGACTGACCCTTGGGGAACACCACTAGTTACCCCTCTCCATTCTGAAAATTTACCATTTATTCCTACCCTATGTTTCCTGTCTTTTAACCAGTTCTCAGTCCATTAAAGGATCTTCCCTCTTATCCCATGACCGGGTTTTTTTGGGAAGAGGGGGGGGCCCGCCATTTTTAAAACCCCGCTGGTTCGAACCGCGTGCAGCGCGGCTACACGGGGCTCGAACTAGGTAGTTCGGACTAGGCTTCCTATTCCGAACTACCGGTACACCTCGTATTGAGCTGCGCTGCACGGGGTTTGAACCAGCGGGGTTTTAAAAATGGTGGCTCCCCGCTTATGCAAATGAAGCCCGGGAAATTCAAATCCCGGGCTTCATTTGCAAGTGCGGTATGCCTACATTACCCTCCTAGTTCGAACTAGGAGGGTAGTGTAGACATACCCTTAGTCTGGTGAGAACTCTTTAAAGCTCTTCATGGTCTTCTCTGGTCTTGAGCAGTTTGGTATCATCTGCAAATTTTGCCACCTCGCTGGTTACTCCTTTCTCTAGATCGTTTATGAATAGGTTGAATAGGACGGGTCCCAGGACAGAACCTTGGGGGACCCCACTAGTTACCTCTCTCCACTTGGAACACGGACCGTTTATTCCGTGACTTTTGTCGACAAAACTATACCTGCGTCTTCACTATGGCAGTAAGAACACAGCAGTTTTGTCGACAGTGGTAAACCTCATTCTACGAGGAATAACGCCTTTTGTCGACAGAACTCTGTCAACAGAAGGCGTTATTGCATTTACATTGTCCTTTGCATCTAGACCCTCATGTCAACAAAGCGGCTTGCTTTGTCGACAGAACTGGCAGTAGTCTTGATGCTCTTTGTCGACAGAAGCTTTGTCGACAGTATCTGTTGACTAAACCTATGTCAACAAAAGCCTGTAGTCTAGATGTACCCTGCGTCTGCATTTCCAGACATGGAGACTGAGTTCTCCTGAGACCTGAATTTCTGTATAATCGCACGACCCTTGCCCTTGAAAATCTCTCTCTCTCTCTCTGCTCTCTCTTGACAGCATGACAAATTCACTGGTGTTGTAAAGTGCACTGCACTGAACACTTGAAAACACCTGTGAATAATATTCCCTAAATCCGGAGACCTGGAGGGGAGGTGGGAATTCCTCTGCCTCTCTGAAGAGCGACCTTGGGGAACCTGCACTGGCATTTGCGAAGACTTTCCTCAGCACACGCAGTGCAGGGGAAGCAGGGCTGGCTGGGAGATGGTGTTTCTGTCTCAGGGCAAATCCCAACAGGCGTTTTCACCCAGAGTGAACCCGAAACATTCAAATAGCGAAAGCCCGAATAGTGATTCAGAAGAGATAATAAGAAATCAAAAGGGAAATTGAAAGCTGCTGTTGACGTCCATGTTTTCTCATGGAGAACATCAGTGCCCATGAAATCATCGGCCCCGAAGATATTTTGATTGATTTCTGTATTTTTCCCCGACATTCTGTACCAATGGAGCCATTTACTCACCTTTAGAAAGAAGGTCTCTAGAGGTGCGTTTGGGTGGTGGTACAGCGACGTCTTCAGTGCTCGTCAAGGCATCTGGACTCTCCATTTACATGCAGGAGGACATGGACGTGAACACACGTTCTGTGGAGAGAAGGGAGAGGGGAATATAGCTAGAAGAGACCCACAAGTACCTGTTGGGCACCACGAACAGAGCATTGCTTGTCATCAGATCCCAGGGTAAATCCCCGATAGATAGATAGATAGATAGATAGATAGATAGATAGATAGATAGATAGATAGATAGATAGATAGATAGATAGATAGATAGATAGATAGATAGATAGATAGATAGATAGATAGATAGATAGATAGATAGATAGATAGATAGATAGATAGATAGATAGATAGATAGATAGATAGATAGATAGATAGATAGATAGATAGATAGATAGATAGATAGATAGGTGAACACACACTCAGCCCATGTGTCAGACACACACAGAGTTCTCTACATACATATGGGAAATTCCGGTGAAGAAACGGGTGCCGTGATTTGTCGTAACTGCAAACCTGGGCATGACGCCGATGGGCTTCACTGGGTGGATGTCTGAGGACCATAGTCACTGATTTCTACCCTACCTTGTGTACGAAGGGTGGTTCCCTCTGCTCGCGGCAGGCACTGGATGTGCGGAAGGGAACAGAATAGATAGATAGATAGATAGATGAACACACTCTCAGTCCATGTGTCAGACACACACAGAGTTCTCTACATGCATACGGGAAATTCCTGTGAAGAAAGGGGTGACGTGATTTGCTGGAACTAGAGACCTGGGCATGACACCGATGGGCTTCACTGGGCGGATGGCCGGGGACCATAGTCACTGATTTCTACCCTACCTTGTGTACGAAGGGTGGTTCCCTCTGCTCGCGGCAGGCACTGGATGTGCGGAAGAGAACAAAGGGCGTTTTATTTCCTTTCCTGGCTTCTGGGACCACGTCCTTGGGGGAATTGTCTCATCATGTTTCTCAAAGGTAGAACAGCCCTGCTTGGAAGTGCAACAAAACAACAGTCACTCGGTCAGTCGTTGCGTAGGAAGTTGTACCAACGTCATCTTCCCTGTCATTGGGTGTGCTCTGTGGAGGAAAATCACACCACACAGAGTGAGGGGCAGGGACACCCCCCAGGGCTCTTGACTCCAGGTCCCCGATGCTCGGACACTGGGCCCTGCTCTTGTCTGAGAACCATGATGGGAACTCAGGAGTTCTGAATCCCCCTGACACTTGCTCTAACCATTAGGCCCCACTGCCCTGTCAGGGCTGGGCACAGAACCCTGATGTGATGGTGCCTGGTGCAGATTACACTGAGCTTGCCACCCTCATTCATCACGCACATGTGGACACACACGCAGACACAAACACACACACTGCATAGGCTTCACACACAAACATATACATACATAGACACACACACACACACGCAGATACAGGTACAGACACAGATACAGACACAGTCTAGCGTAGCCAGATGGCTTCACCAAAAATACGGGGCACACTCAACATTCCATCACAATCTATATTACATCCTATTTACAAAATACCAGACATTTCTATTTTCTCAATGCGTTTCCTGAAAAGAAAGCTCAAATACTGGACTGTCTGGTTCAATACCAGACACTTGGAAATCCTAACACACACACACACACACACACACACACAGAGAGAGAGTTTGTACGTTGTTGGTGTCTCAGGGTTCCATGACATGGTCCATTCTGCCTCCCAGACCTGCCCCCTTCCCATTTCTCATGGACTGGGCCCATTAAGGATGTTTCTCTTTTAGGCCTAGGCTGAAATAGTCCCCGGACCTCTGTGATGAGAGTTAACACAACGTGACTCAGAGCAGGCCAGGCGGGATGACCCAGAGACCTTTGACCTTCCCTGCCCTGCCCCTCGGCCAACGGGACGGGCCCCCGTGAGATGCACCCGTCAGTGTTCAAGGTGAGAGGCAGCCACAGACCTGGAAGACGTGGATCTCACAGACAAACACACGGCATCTCAAGGTGCCAAAAAGCCCCAGGCGTGGAGCAGGGACGGTCTATGCTTGGGACACCGACTCCAGCTCCAGCTCATCGGGGAAATGTTGCTGGCGACAGCATGAAGTCGGTTGCGTCATCCTTGTTGCTCTGCAGGAAATGTCTCTGCTGGGGCCCAGGAGGGGCCGGTTCTGCCCCTGTTGGGGGATAGTTTGTGTTCTTCTTCTCTGGCCACCGATCGGATGTTTGGTCTGACTCCCAGCAACCCCTGAGATCCGCATCTCTCCTGGAGCCCCCGAGCCCTCATCTCCTTCCCAAACCGAGCCCAGGGTGAGCAGTGTGGGGTGGTAAATGGGCGAGGGCCAGGCCAAGCCCAGACCCTGCTCCTGCGCTGGCCCCACGCACAATGCACAGGCCTCAGCAAACCCACAGGAAAGTCACCCTGTTGCCGGAAGAATTCCCTTGGGATTCATGAATCCTCCGAGCTGCTCTGAGGCTGGGGATTGCCTCTGACAACAGGGGAACACGATGTGTGTGGGGATAACACAGCCTAATGGGGAAGACACTGAAGAATCAAAGTCTTCGGCATCCTGTTTGATACTGGCTTTGGGGGGGGGGGCTCGTTTTGGGGGCGGGCCCCGAGCCTGTCCAGGGGGGTGGGAACATCTCTGGGAGTCCTGGAGGCCACGGTCTTCCAGGTGGGGTGGGAGCCAGGGCCAGGGGGAAGGGAGGGGAAGGCCGGGCTGTGAGGGGCTTCCTCCGGCTCTGTTTTAGGTCAGGGAGGCCACTGACCTGCTCCGTTATAAAGACCCATCCCCAACTAGCCAGGCTATTTCTGCTACAGCTCCCCCCGGTGGTCACTCTGCAGTATCACTGCCCCACACTCGCTGCCCCCAGTGGTCACTGTGAGTATGGCGTCCCTCCTCTCTCTGCCCCCTCCCTTTCCCTGTTCTGGAAACCAGTCTCACTCCTGGCACGTCCTGATTCCCTGGCACAAGCATACCCTGACCTAGGTTTAAGTTAGGGTAAGAGGAGGCCACTTGCCAAATTTGGTGGCCGGCTCTATGGTTTAGGAGGAATTATTGTGAATCTTTGTTACATTCATCTCATGCACAGTGAATTTACATATTGTGGGCAAGAGTAACTCTAGTGACAAAGCTCTTCACATGTCTTCACAATCCAGCCTGTCTGCTCATTTCTGTTCCTGAATGTCTTATTCTGAGCCTTTACCTTCCGTATCCTCATTTGGAACACACAGTTGCAGGCCCTGATCCATGAACTGCAAGCCGGTGCTAAGCCATAGAATTAAAGCCTCTTGACGTTAGCAAGTTTTGTATCCGTTTGGGATAAAGCATTAGTGATATTATAGGAGGATAGTGTGGGATCTAGGATAGGAAGAGGGAACAAACCATGTGCTAATGCAGCTTGTGTAACGGCCAGCTATTCATAACATGACTTATATACTGACCCAACACCTATGTGTTTGCTGAAATGTCACCGATTATTGCTTTGATTATTCCTCCGTGAGTGTCACATTTTTGCAGGAATTGATGTGCAATGTAGTGTGGGATTTGCTCTGTTATATAAAATTTTGTGAATGGTCATTGGGTATGTATGAGGGGAAACTGAGTCAAACATCCCACATTATGGCTTAACCAGTGTTGGCTTTATTCAATACGATTACAGACAGAATTATTGTCACCTATAGGCTACGTCTACACTGGCATGATTTTCCGAAAATGCTTTGAACGGAAAAGTTTTCCGTTAAAAGCATTTTTGGAAAAATTGAGATTAGATTGGCAGGACGCTTTTCTGCAAAAGCACATTTTGCGGAAAAGTGTCCGTGGCAAATCTAGACGCAGTTTTGCGAAAAAAAGCCCTGATCGCCATTTTAGCCATCGGGACTTTTTTACGCAAAACAGTACTATGCTGTTTCCACTAGCCCTCTTGCGCAAATCATTTGTGCAAGAGGGCTTTTGCCCAAACGGGAGCAGCACAGTATTTCCGCAAGAACACTGACAATCTTACATGAGATCATCAGTTTTCTTGTGGAAATTCAAGCTGCCAGTGTAGACAGCTGGCAAGTTTTTCTGTAAAATCATCTGATTTTGCAGAAAAACTTGCCAGTCTAGACACAGCCATAGTGTCTGGACAAATTTCTGCCTGATAAGTAACAACAGGTAAGACAGAGTAGGTATGTGGACCCAATTTACCACATTCAAGGAACACGTCCTTCCTTTTTCCATGATGGTTTTCACTTCCTTGGGTCTTCTGGTTTTGTCCATTTTTCTTCGCCGTTGGCTTCTGGTTGAGCATTTCTCCAGCCTTGGGCCTCTTTTTTATATGTATTCTCCTACATTTTCTTATTGTCATCTGCTTAACATCCCCCCCATATTCACCCAACACATTATCTGTTACATTTTACATTTCCCAAGAGTTATGCAAAAGTTTTGCCCGAATTTCCAGTTTCCGTGTCATGTTGCCCTGCTCTCTTGCTAAGTTTCTCAGAGAAAGGGGATTTTTGATGTTGAATGTCTGTAGCGCATACTTTCGTCTTGCAACTCGAGACGTTAAGACACCTAATCCCCGATATCATTTTCAACATTCTGCCTTGTCGATTCCAAAACTTTCGATGGGATCCTCAGCACCCACTTCCTCTCCACACCTGGTGCTAGTGCCCGGTGACAGATCTGGTACAACCTTTCCGGTTACCTCACTCAACCTCTCTGTTGTTGGTCTCAGAGTTAGAACGCTTCAGACATTGGAGGCTGCTATTTGTGTTTCTCCAACAGCAAACCGAGAGGCTGTGGAGGCTGGTGGGCCTGGCGGTAACAACAAACCCTTTCTCACTTCCTCCTGCAGCCCATCAACACCTCAACATTGGGAACCCCCTGCCCATCTCTCCCTGTAAACACCCCACATGGCTTCGGTGCCCAGTTCATTGCCAGTGATGCTCCGCTGGGGGGTGTCAAAGAGAACAACAACATCACATAGTCCATCCCATGACAGACACAGCTTGTGCACCTGTACCAAGAAGGCAAAGTTTCCCTTCTTAATTTCATTGCAAATTTTGAAGATCACGACGCACTTTTGACTCAATCGTCTCCTTTGAGGAATGAATTTAGTTAAAGAGGTAAAAGGCTCCAACTATGATATTTGCACATAAATTAAGAAATGTAAATGTCTAGATTCTTTTTCAGAACTACCGCTTCTCTTTTCATGATCCCGGCAAGTCGAGATGAGATCAAAGCCTTTTGAAATGACAAAAGTTGAATAAAATATAGAGAGCCGTTGCGAAAAATATAACTAAACTAGCTGGAGTCACCCCGCGTTACCCGGGAAACCGGAGGAACAAAATTTAGAAAAACAGTAGTTCATTATCTTTTTTTGATTGGTAGAAAAGTTGCACTGATTTCTATAGGGATTAAAATATAGGTCCGCATAATCCCTGGGGGTGGGGAAGGTGGGAAAGCAGGTCACTTACGTAACCTCGCGAGAGGGGGTGAGTCCCGGATGGCGCTGGGGGCTGCAGGCGGCAGGCACGGAACCTAAGGTGGGTGGGGCAGCCCCTGCAGTGTGGCGGGATATTTTTTATTTTTACAGCTTGAGATGAGGCCCGATTGGGTCCAAGAGTACCTTAAAATCTTCTCCTGAATGAAAGGCTATCCATGGAAAGTTTGGTTGCGGTAGCTCTTATAGTGTCCAGGTTATTAGCGAACACACTTACAAACATTCTCCTTTCAATTTTCCTTAATCCCCCCATTTTGACTCACTCTATTTTCATTCTCTAATTTCTCCAGCGGTGAGCAAAGCTGCATTTCCCTACTGTTTTTCTAAAGGCTCCTTTCACCTCTTTGTTCCTCAGCGTGTATATTAGGGGGTTCAACATGGGGGCCAAAATGCTGTTCGCAAGGGAAATCATTTGATCACGCTCCATGGTGGAGGTAGACTTGGGCACGAGGTAGGTGAAAAAGGATATTCCATAGAACAAAGTCACCACCATGAGGTGGGAGGAGCAGGTGGAGAAGGCTTTACGCCTCCCCTCTGCAGACGGCAGCTTGAGGATGGTGGAGAGAATGCAGACGTACGACAGGAGTATCATCAGGAAAGGGACCATGAGAAACAGCACTGACACAGTGAGGCCTACAATCTTCATCTTGGTTGTGTCATCGCAGACCTTCTTCATCACCGGCGGGATGTCGCAGAAGAAGTGGTGGATGTAGTGGGAGCCACAGAGGGGTAGGCTGAAGAGCCACATGGTCTCAACTACTGAAGCTGAGATACCGAAGGTCCATGAAGTCCCCGCAAGCTTTGCACACACCTGTCTGATCATGATGGTCGTGTAGTGCAAGGGGTGGCAAATGGCCACATATCGGTCATAGGACATGGCTGCAAGGAGGCAGCATTCTGTGAAACCCATGATGGTGTAGACGTACATCTGAGTCACACATCCCTCAATAGAGATGGTCTTTTCCTCCACCAGGAGGTGAACCAACACCTGAGGGACCACACTGGTGGTGAAGCAGACATCCAGGAAGGACAGGTTCACCAGGAAGAAATACATGGGGGTGTGAAGGGTGGAGTTCAGTATTATCAGGAGGCTAACGAGCAAGTTCCCCATCAGGGTGAGCAGGTAGACAACCAGAAGCAGCAGAAAGAGAAGGATTTGCAGGTCGAGAAGGTATGAAAACCCCACCAGGATGAACCCACCGGAGATGGTCTGGTTCTCGCCAGGGTCGTTCTCGGAATACGTCATCTGCAGGGGTGACAGAGAGACTCTGGAACTGAATCTAGTAAATACCAAACATGGGGATGTGGCTCCCACAATCCCTGCTGGTTTCCTTTCTGCTGGGAGTCTTCTGCCTAAAACCTGCTGCAATTCTGTACATAGTCACCGTCAGGTGTAAGGTGCTATCGCAGTTTGGATGTGTAGGTCATCTGGGGAGATGACCCCTTGGAGGCCAGTGGAACTAGGGCTGATTTACCCTAAAGGAGCTACATTGGAGAGGTCGGATACATAGGGGGTCGGATAACTTACCCTAAAGGAGCTACATTGGTTTGTCTGAGCAATGGGGGCTGTGACAGACCTAAACCAGCAGCCTGCCACAGTCTGGTGGAAGGCAGCTATACAGGGCACTGGATAAGTGATTTTCTCTTCCCAGCGTGATAACTACTGGAGTTTGGTGCAATAAAAGAAAGGCAGGAAAACACCTGGGGCTACTTAACTAGTCAAGTCCACACCAGCAGCCAATGAAGGTCTTTGGTGCCGCTTTAAAAAGGCTCCCCCCAGGCTAAGAAGGGGGGAGACATAGAGTGAGGGACGGTAGGGAGAAAGAGAGGAAGAAGAGGAAACTGTGTCAAAAAACAGGACCATGTAGCACTTTAAAGACTAACAAGATGGTTTAATAGGTTTAAAGCTTTTGTGGGCCAGACCCACTTACTCAGTGGGTCTGGCCCACGAAAGCTTTAAACCTATTAAACCATCTTGTTAGTCTTTAAAGTGCTACATGGTCCTGTTTTTTGTTTCAGCTACACCAGACTAACACGGCTACATTTCTATCAGGAAACTGTGTGAGCTGAGAGCTGGTTAACAGATCCCACAGGAAGACATTTTGTGGGGACTGTTTGCGGATGCAGCCCAAGGGAAAAGCTGCCAAGTCAGAAGGAAAAAAAACCTTGATGACTCCTGCTACTTCAGGGGCTCTGGCCTGGAACCTGCAGTAGGTCCCCCAAAACCTTCCCTCATCAATACAGAACTTGTCTCAAGAAGAGAGACCAGGACTATCAGGGGGTTTCACCCCAAAACCAAGGCCTAGCCTGCGAGGAGCATGGCTCACTGGACTCCGGACGCTGGCTCCTCTTTGGGTATTGGCCCACAGCAAATCTCTGAGATGAATATTATCCGCCAGCAGCGCGAGATGCAGGTGGCATGGCCAGAACTTTGCCACAGGGCCCACTACCATCCAGGTATCGCGGTTCTAATCCTTTTTGTCTACTTGAAAATTCAAAAGGGTCCTTCCTTCCCCCCTCTCTTGCTCCCGCCCTCCATATTCATGGTCCTACTAGGCCAGACCAAAGGTGCATCCAGCCAATGTCCTGTCTGCCCACAGTGGCCAATACCAGAAGCCCCAGAGAGAGTGAACAGAAAAGGAAACCATCAAGTGATCCCTCTCCTCTCATTCTTTTCCAGGCCCAGACAAACAGAGGCTAGGGACACCATTCCTGCCCATCCCAGCTAACAGCCTTTGAGGGACCTAACCTCCATGAATTTATCTAGCTCTTTTCAGCACCCTGTTAAAGTCCTGGCCTTCCTAACATCCTCCGGCAAGGAGTTCCACAGGTTGACTGTGCGCTGGGTGAAGAAAAACTTCCTTTTGTTTGTTTTAAACCTGCTGCCTATTCATTTCATTGGGTGACCCCTAGTTCTTGTATTATGGGAACATGTAAGTAATTTTTCTCTATTCACTTTTGAAGTCATGATCTTATAGGTCTCTGTCCTATCCCCCCTTGGTCTCCTCTTTTTGAAGCTTTTTTTTTACCTCTTTTCATGCGGGAACCGTTCCAAACCCCAACTAATTTTTGTTCCCCTTCTCTGAACCTTTTCCAATTCTAAGAGATCTTTTTTTAGATGAGGCGATCACATCTGTACACAGAATTCAGGATGTGGTCGTACCATGATTTTGCATAGAGGCAATAAGATATTCTTTGTCTTATTCTCTCTCCCTTTTAAAATGATTCTCAACATCCCGTTTGCTTTTTTGACTGTAGCTGCACATGGGCCGTTTGCTTTTTTGACTGTAGCTGCACCTGGGGTGGGTGTTTTCAGGGAACTATCCACAATGACTCCAAGATCTCTCTCTTGAGCAGTTGTAGTTAAATTAGTCCCCATCATATTACAGGTATCGTTGCGGTTATTCTTTCCAATTTAATTACTATATATTTATCCACATTACATTTCATTTGCCTTGTTGTTTCCCAATCACTTAGTTTGGTGAAAACTGTTTAAAGCTCCTCGTGGTCTGTTCTGGTCTTGAGCGGTTTGGTATCATCTACAAATTTTGCCACCTCACTGTTACTACTTTCCATGGATCATTTATAAATATGCTGAATAGGATGGATCCCAGGACAGACTTTTGGGGGACCGCAGAAGCTACCTCTCCCCACTTGGAAAGCTGACCATTTTTACCTGCGTCTACACTGCCGCTGAGTTCTGTTGACATAGCATCGACAGAACTCAGCAGTTTTGTTGACAGCGCTAAACCTCATTCTACGAGGAATAATGTCAACAGAAGGCGTTGTTGCATCTACATTGTCCTTTGCATCCACACTGTCCTTTGCGTCTACACTGTCATGTCGACAAAGCGGCTTGCTTTGTCAACAGAACTGGCTGTAGTCTACATGCTCTTTGTTGACTGAAGCTTTGTCGACAGTATCTGGTGACAAAGCCTTTGTTGACAAAAGCCAGTAGTCTAGACGTTCCCTGAATCTGCATTTCCAGACATGGAGACTGAGTACTCCTGAGACCTGAATTTCTGAATAATCGCACGACCATTCCCCTCGAAAATCACTCTCTCTCTCTCTCTTGACAGCACAACAAATCGCATGACAAATCTAACAAGAGAAGCAATCACTGGTGTTGTAAAGTGCACTGCACAGAACACATGAAAACACCTGTGAATAATATTCCCTAAATCCGGAGACCTGGAGGAGAGGTGGGAATTCCTCTGCCTCTCTGAAGAGCGACCTTGGGGAACCTGCACTGGCATTTGCGAAGACTTTCCTCAGCACACGCAGTGCAGGGGAAGCAGGGCTGGCTGGGAGATGGTGTTTCTGTCTCAGGGCAAATCCCATTAGGCGTTTTCACCCAGAGTGAACCCGAAATGTTCCAATAGCGAAAGCCCGAATTGTGACTGAGAAGAGTTAATAAGAAATCAAATGGGAAATCGAAAGCTGCCGTCACCATCCCTGTTTTCTCATGGAGAACATCAGTGCCCATGAAATCATCGGCCCCGAAGATATTTTGATTGATTTCTGTATTTTTGCCTGACATTCAGACAGGTTCTCTACCAATGGAGCCATTTACTCACCGTTAGGAAGAAGGTCTCAAGAGATGCTTTTGGGTGGCGGTACAGTGACGTCTTCAGTGCTCGTCAAGGCATCTGGACTCTCCATTGACATGCAGGAGGACATGGATGTGACTAAATAAGCACACGTTCTGTGGAGAGAAGGGAGAGGGGGACGTAGCTAGAAGAGACCCACAAGTACCTGTTGGGCACCATGAGCAGAGCACTGCCTGTCATCAGATCCCAGGGGTGGACTCTCTTATTAAAAGAGCTCAAACCGGGCCCCCTCAGCCGACTGGGCTCAGCTCCACACACAAGATCCGTGTCAGGTACCAACATTTCCCTTCACATGCAGTGGGTAAGGAGGAGAGTTGAGGAATAGAGGAGAATAAAAGCGAGGAAAGGTTGAAGAAAGAAATAACACCCCGAACTTTTCTCTCTGGTGGGCACTATGGAAATCAGACAGATAGATAAATAGATGGGGTGTATGGGGATAGATAGATAGACACGGTGACCCCTTGGTCTGTCCGTCCAGCTGGGTCCGGCGGGGAAGCCCCACGTAGGGATGTGGAAGGGCAGGGGCATGGCGTGCCGTGTGCCGCAGGCTGGGCCTAGAGCCCCGGGGAGAGAGGAGGGGGAGTTGGAGCTGTAGATAGGAGGTGTGGGGATAGATAGATAGATAGATAGATAGATAGATAGATAGATAGATAGATAGATAGATAGATAGATAGATAGATAGATAGATAGATACCCGATATGCTCAGGTACTCACCAAGTTTCTCTTTGCATGTCTGGAAAACTGAAATGAAAACCCAGTGTCATGACTGTTCTCCAATTGCAGCCCTCGGGCACAGCACCGATTGGCTTCCAGGGGAGCGTGTTTCGGGGCTGAAGTTGCTTGTGCAGATCCTACCTCACTTGGGAGGAGCGGTTCTCTCTGCTCGCAGCAGGCGCTGGAGGTGCAGAAGGGAACAGGGCTTTTGTTGACCTCACTGGCCTCTGGGACCGAGTCCCCGGTGGACGTGTCTTGCCAGTTCCCCACGTGAAGAGCAGCCCCGCCTGGAACTGCAACCAAACAACGTTCCCCAGGCCAGTCACCTCACAGGGACTTGCACCAGCATCCTCCCTGCCCCCACGTGTGCTCCTACGTGACAGTCCCTCTGGGATTCACTGGCTGTGGTACGTTCTGTGACTCTTGTTTGTCTGGCAGGAGGGAAGGTCTGTCCCAGGCAACACAACACACAGTCAGGGGAAGCTGTAGAGACAGGGACAGGGACACCCTAAGGGCTCAGGGCTCCAGGTGCCTGAGGCTCAGACTCTGGGCCCCGCTCTTGTCCTGGAGCTACAATGGGAACCCAGGAGCTCTGGCTCCCAGCCCTTCCTGCTCTAACCATTACACCCCACTGCCCTGCCAGGGCTGGGCACAGACCCCAGGAGCCCTCACTCCCAGCCCCCTGCCCTGCCCACGGGTCCCATTTCTCTCCTCGAGGGCTGGAGGGCATGGGGGTTGTGGGGTCAATGCAGAAGAAGGGGGTTCAGGGTGGGGGTGCCTGCAGACCAGGCTGGGGTGGAGGGTTCAGAGCAGTGGTTTGGGTATGAGGGGCTCGGAGAGGGGGTGCAGTCGTGAGAGCAGGGGGCTGGAAGGTATGAGACACTCAGGGCAGGGGGTGGGGTTGTGGGGCAGGAGGTGGGG